GCCTCAGTGATTTGGGCCCAAGCCTGGAGCTCTGCAGCTAGACCCTTCTCATGTTGTAGGATGACATGACAATATAATGTATTTAAAAAAAAGACCATGCTTCTTGAAACGTAATGAATTGATTTATTTATGGATCAATTAAAACATGACATGACATGTTTAATTATGACATTACCATAGAACGCAATACATGTAATATGACATGGCATTAAATGACTCGGTGTGACATAAAGTGATATGATGTAACAGAACATATCATGACATCTTATGACATAATGTATAAAATCAGACTACACCATGACACAACATAACGTCATAATAGCTCTGTTATGTTGTGACGTGGTGTGATATTATGTAAAAGCAACAGAAGGTAGCATTACATGGTATAACGTTATAGGAGATGAACAATGATACAGTAAATAAATACAGTGTTGTGTTGTGTTGTGTTGAACAAACTTGTGCAGCTGTGCAGCTCACAGTGCTGAGCGCAGACTGATGCAGTGTAAATGATGTGTTGGTGTTGTGTTGGGATGTTATCGACAGTCTCTGGGTGGAGTGATGAGCGTGGGAGCTGCATTGAAAGAGCATTATGGCCTGTAGCTGGTTCACTTTACAATTCATTACACTTCCAAGGACAAATGACTGCTAAATAACTCTGTCTGCCTCCCTCTGTGTGTGTGTCTCCCTATCGCTCTCTGATCCATCATCATATAGTAACAAGAGAGAGACAATCACAATCACACGGACACTTATTTTATATTAAATTACTAATAATGCCTCTTTATCATTGAAAATCATGATAAAACACAAAAATGACACCAGGGTTGATTGTAATTTAAAAATGAAAGACACTTTGGTTAGTCTTCTTTTGTGATTGGTGCCTAATGCGGCTTCCAAATAAGTATAAAATAGCCGCCTACAGACGCTATGACAGGAGATATGATAAACTTACTGTCTTTGATTTAACTTTACTCACTGTTTGATGATCCAGGTCCTTCAGTTGACTGTTTTTAAAAAAATTTGTTTGGGAAACGCAGCAATGGATCATTGAAAAGCACCCAGGTTTGGTGCCACAAACACAGGTGGAAACGCCACAAAGGGTTGCTAGCTGGTTGCAAACAGTAGTCTGCAGTGGTCGAGGGTACGTTCACAATTTGGAATTAATCAGTTGGAAGTGAACCAACTGAACACTGTCGATATTATCCCCAAAATTTTATCATTCTTTTAAGGACATTTTGTGGAAATTCTTATTAAATCACAGACCTGTCGGAGTGATACCAAATTCACTGAGGCTCAGTGATGAGGGGATGTAAAAGGCAGAATAGAAGGTGGAGGAGGAAGAGGAGGAAGAGATGGGGAGGAGGAGGAGGAGCAGGACGGGGAGTTGGGCAGATGTTGCTTTGTTTAAAGACTGTTGTGTAATTAAGGACAGAAGAACAGAAGCCTGACCCATTTTCTCCTTTTGATCAGCTGTCAGGGAGACAGGCAGGGGGTCTGCTGAGGGACGACCTGTCTGTCTGTCTGTCTGTCTGTCTCTCTGTCTGTCTCCACCTAAAACTTTTAGCTGTCCTGCTGAGGGAAGCCCGTTTGAGAGGCGGCCGCTATTTTATCTTCCACCTGACGTTTCACAGCACAAATAGAGGACATGGGAGGTCAGAGAGACGAGGGAGGGAGGAGTGAAAGAATACGAGGAGGTGAAGAAGGGAGATGGAGTCCAGCTGTGAGGGAAGGAGGTGGGAGGGGAGGGGAAGAGGATGAGGTGAAGGAGATAAAGAAAGACAAGAGGAGGTGAACAAGTAGGAGCTGGAAAGTGAAGATGAAGATGATAGAGACATGGAGGAGGTGGAGGTTGTGTCCAACATGGAGGGGAGGGTGGAGGGTGGAGGGTGGAGGGGAAGGTACAGGAGGTGGGGGGAGGGAGACTGTAAAGGAGCAGCTGCAGGGGGAGGAGGGGGAGGACCAAGAGGCGGAGGAGGAAGTGATAGAGTTTGTGGTCAATATGGAGGTGTAAACAAAACACTGACATCACTGCCAGGCAGTGACTAAAGCTCTGCCCCCTCCTCACAGAGCATTTATGTCAGAACTTTAAAATAGCGGAGACGTGTTCCTTCATTATCGTAGACGAGTGTGTGAAACTAAAACGCCAACATGTCGTCATTTTAAGGTTTAAACCGTTATAATTCTGATTAGCACGACTACAGCTCCCATGAGCCTCAGCACTTTTCCTCATGAAGTCACGGAAACTGTCCTCAGTGATAGGTCGACTGGTTAACGGCTGCGGATACTGAGAGGCTGAGAGACACAATTGACAGGGTGTTAACCAATCTACACACACACACACACACACGTTTGGCAGTGAAATGCAGCGATGTCTTTATTTTGGTCATTTTCCTCTTTATAAAACTCAAATACACTGGTAGACAGACAATAAATAAGCATTAAGTTAATGCTTTTTTTGGCGGCACAATGGTGCAGTGGTTAGCGTTGTCACCTCACAACAAGAGAGTTCCTGGTTCGAACCTAGGGTGTGGGAGCCCTTCTGGAACATGGAGTCTTCATGTTCTCCCCATGTCAGCGTGGGTTTCCTCCAGGTGCTCCAGCTTCCTCCCACAGCCCAAAGACATGCAGGTTAATTGGTGACTCTAAATTGTCCGTAGGTGTGAATGTGAGTGTGAATGGTTGTCTGTCTCTATGTGTCAGCCCTGTGATAGTCTGGTGACCTGTCCAGGCTGAACCCTGCCTCTCGCCCAGTGTCAGCTGGGATAGGCACCAGCACATCTGCGACTCCTAAAAGGATAAGCAGTTACAGAAAATGAATGACTGTTAAATACATGTACAAACGTGTAACATTGTGCAATTTGAGCATATTATAATTAGTCTGAATTCATGTGTCACAGGCTCATACTGCAGTCAGGTGTTGGCTTCTACGTGCTTAAGATCACTTTACTTTGACCGTGTTATGAAATACTTTTATTTATGTAGAAAGAAAGATACTGTTTAGACATAATACCACTCAACAATATTTAAATATGATATTAAACATGGAAGTTAAAGTTTGGTCAGTGAGTTGTTTGCACACATCAGTGGCACCACAGTAGCACCGTGACTGACTGACTGACTGACTGAGATAATCATTAGCCTGTGTATCTTGTCTGAGCTGAGTCATGTTGTGTCAAACTGTGGGAAATGACATTCTCATTTCAAGGGTTGTAACAGTATGAATTTAAGATAATACTGGTCTCAGAAAATATTAGGGTTTCAAGGTATAGTGTATAAAAGTATTATTATTAAAGGATTTATTTTTTTCATTCATCATTATAATTGAAACTTGATGTACACACTATGATAACGGTCAGTGTTTATACCACAGTATACTGCTGCAACCTACTAATTTCATAGATTAAATTTGCTGCATCTGTGCGCACTGTTTTGGTTTTAAAGTTGTATATTGCACATATATTTTGCATCATAATACAACTCACAGGGAATCTACTCTCTACAAAATAACCCACTGGTTCAACTTAAAAAATTAAGTTAAACTAAGTTCCATCTCTGACCTTACTGAGTCAATCCCACAAATCTTTTAGAATCCAACCAACTTGATTATATTATATATATAGTACAATCAACATGATTTGCTTAAGTTGACCCAACTTAAAATGTGTCCAAAAGTTGTGTAGTGATGTTAAGTGTGTGTACTGTAAATGTCACTCCTTTATTTTAATTTCATCCTACTCAAAAATGTCAAAATGCTGTTTTAGCAACTTCTTAAAAATAAGTTGTCAATCACATTTTTAATATGCTGAAACACTAATTTATTTTAAGCTTTATCCACAAACCCCACGAATCTTTGTCAGAGCGTATATATTTGTTACGTTTTCTTTTATATTTTTCTGTTCTTCGTTTCCTGTTTCTTAGCGTTTAAAAAAAATTAATTTAGGAAAAAAACGAAAATAAATAAAATAAAAAGAGGGGAAGTGCATTGTGCATTTTACAGATTAATAACTACAAAAATGTGGTGTACAGTCCAACAAAACTAAAAAAATATGTATTATTCAAATTTTGAAAATATGGACTTATATGGTTCTTTGTCTATACTCGTCAGTTATATTTTATTTTTTCAGATTTTGTTATAACAAGTTAAAAATGCTTGACCAGAAATAATGAAGCATGTAAAATTTTCAATTTAAAAGTACTTTTTAATGTATTTTTGTGAATGTGACGTTTCTAAGCGTCATTGTTTAAACTGTGCTTTAGTAAGCAGCGCTGCTTTAAAACGGATTCAAATTAAGATTTTATTTACAATTTGTGAACAAATATTAAACATGTTTTTTCATTATAATTAACTGTTGAAATGAGTCACTGCTCTGAGGCAAGTTTAAATTTGTAAAAAAAAAAAATTTAGCCATTGTGGATTTAGTTTTATTACAAGAGCATCATTTATTTTAATTTTCACTTTCAATTTAATTTGACTGTTTGAGAAACAAGAACAATCTTTATCAGTCAGCTGAGTTTAGAATTAATGAGAGAAAATAAATTAAAAGCAACAAGACAAAATAATTAACATCAGCTTCATCCAAACGCTGCTAAATTAATAATTAAATAATCCATGTTGGAACTTGTGGCTCAGTTTCAGAGAGAGATGAGACAGTAGTTGGTGACGGAGCAGGTTCCTCTGTGAGTCATATTCTCCGTCTGAAAGCGAGCGTCAGGCTGTGAAGTGTGCATAAAGCTGCAGAGTTGCAGGTTGATCTCAGGACGTTTCCTCCTCCTGCTTCCTCTCTCTCTCTCTCTCTCTCTCTCTCTCTCTCTCTCTCTCTCTCTCTCTCTCTCTCTGTCTCTCTGTGTCCCGGGCCATCTGCTGCCAACAGAGCAGCAGTATTGATCTGCAGCTTTGTGCTGGAGACCACATGCTAATCTATAGCGTTAGTGACAAACACTGCTCCGCTTTGCCTCGCATCTGTCCCACTGACTCTCTCTGTCTCACTCTTTTCTCTCAGGACAGCCAGTGTCATCCTCCCTCTCTAAATGACCCAGCAGTTTTGGAGCGGGGGTCCATCTGTCCGGCCGTAAACTCTTCCTCCTCCTCCTCCTCCTCCTCCTCCTGCAGTGGTTGGCTGCTGGTGAGTCCTGTTCAGTGTGTTTTGGTGTTTCATGGCAGCCATATTTATTTAGTGTTAAATAAAAGAGACAGGTTGAGTGTAGACGCAGAGACAGAGACTTTATGTTGAGATATGTGACGACAATATGCAGAATTATAGAGCTGGATTTATATAAAGAAATATATATGTACAGATATTGTAGAGTTTGATGGAGAAACATAAAGATAATAATCCAAGTTATGTACAGATACTGTGGAGGTTTATGTAGACGTATACTGCAGTAATGTAGATTATAATGATTTCTATTCAGAGAGGAAATAAAGATATAAAAGGTAGATGATGCACAATTTTAAAAAATCACCATTAAAAATGTAGAGATACATGCAGACACTATTAATATGAACTCACATTTTGGACTGTTATATTTGCAGCTCTGCGACTTTTGCACTTTGCCTGCGTAATATTTTTGCGCCTCCTGCACCAAACTGCAGATTATCTGAGACATGTACGTATTTTATGTGATAGCACGTTTTAAAAGTATCTTAGTTGTGTTTTTATTGTAATTTTTCTATACTATATTTATGTTCTTGAGTGTTGCCTTTTTTTTATTCTTCTTTTTAAGTTGTTTGTTTAATGTGTGCACCAAAAAAACCAAAGCAGATTTCTTGAAAGTGAAACCTACTTGGAGATAAATGCTTCTCTGATTATGATATTTAAATATCAAATAGACAAAGCTTTAAAGATTGAGAAACGGTAATATAGAAATGTTTAGAGACTCAGGACAAAAATAAATATATATTATAGAGTATGTTGAAGCTTCGTGTTTATACGTCTTATGGAGATGTATAAAGAAATATACCAGATAATGTTGATGTTAATTGAGATATAATAAATAAAATTGAGATAATTGATGGATGTAAATGTAAATATAGAGATTGATTTAGACGTGATGTTGAAATAGGGATTATAGACATACGTATGAAGGGGTAATAAACATTCAAGATTCAGGGAGATAAATATTTGATGAGATTTTATTGCGTAAACTAAAAATTAGCAGAGATAATACAGTGATTTAAATTCTGACAGTATAGAGCTGACGAAGAGATTTGTATAAACATGAAGAGAAATCGTATTAATTTATAAATACATATTCTGAAATAATACAGATACTTAGAGACGTAGATATAGGAAAATATATATAGAAAGAGAAATAAGTTATCAGCGATACTGTAAGTAAAGATTTAAACAGCTGTTAATATTTTATACACTGACTTAATTTTATATAAAGTGATGAAACAAATTAGTAGGGGGGCAAATACAGAACTGTATTTAAATATATGTGGTTTTAAAGATATACATATAAGATAAGTTATAGACTAGTACAGACACTAAAATAAACACAGTGTATAGAAGGAACACAAAGGTTTGTATAAAGATAAAGACGAGGAAATAATTTATTAATACATGTTTTCAAATAATACAGAGACGTGTGCGGATAGTTTGGAGATTTCTAGAGATATAGACTGTGTTTATAGGAGAAAATATACTGCGTTTAAATATGTAGAGATAAAATAGAAATGCACATGTGCACAGGTAACACACAGCTGAGACGCAAACACAGAGATAAAAAGACATATTTTATTGAAGATGTGGCGATAAGTAGAAATTTAAATTTAATATAAGGTGATTTTATATAATCATAATAATCATATATCAGATATCAAATATAATCAGATATGTAGAGATATATTAAATAGTATGTCTAGAGATTTGTGGTATATTTGTGATATATATATGCATATATATATATTAGGATAGATCGATAGATAGTTAGAGGTTATAAAGAGATGTATATACATTTATAGATGTTAAATACATAGAGATATAGAGATAATATTGAGCTACAAACCCTTCCAAAACTCCACAAAAACAATGATGTGTCTGACTCCCCTCTCAAACACACACACACACACACACACACACACACACACACACACACTATGCAAATATATACATATATATCTGAGCAAAAATCTGAGCAAACTAAAACACACCTCCATGATCTTCCTTCTATCTCCTCGCCCTTCCCTTCGTCCTCTTCTTCCCTCCTCCTCCTCTTTCTCTTCCTCCTTTATTCTCCTCAAGTCTTTTCAAACTTTTCAGACCTGCTGCCTCCTTTGTTGCGGTTCTGTTGGCCGTGAAATCGGCTTTTAATGGGAACACAATGGCCGCGTGCGGAGCCAACCCGCTGTATTCAAATGTGACCGCACGCCGCTATCATGGCGTTTGCAGCTCTGAATAAACACTCATTTAACAGCCTGTCACCTCACACCTTCATGAATCTGCACATAAGTCATTGTGCATTCTTTAACTGGCGTTTAACACCAGCAGCAAAACAGCCACTTAAAGAATTATGTTTTTGTACATGAGATTCAGTCATTAAATCACTTATGATAAAAACAAGATACCTCAAATTAAGGTTGTATGACTTTTTAAGGGATTCAACATCACTCTCAGATATCACCTGGACAAACAGAGAGAATTGTTTTAACCTTTAACTGGTGCTGCCATACTTTTAAGAATAAAGAAGGTCAAATGCATGAACGTGCAATATTCATTTATTTCTGTATCTATAAGACATGAGTGTGACTGTGTCAGTGTGAACCTGCTGGATAATTTTAACTTCAGTTCTTCAAGAGACAAATTCAGAAACACAAACATAAAGCTACAAAATCAGGAGGAGCAAAACACTGACGCAACAATACAGTGACCACATCCCACATTCAGCTCCTGTTCACACTGTTACACATCAGCCCTGCAGAGCACTGAGGCAGTAAAGAAATGATACTAAAAAATACTCATAGAAGTCGTCAGTAAAATGATAATATTACACATTACAGCATGTAAACTAGGCGGCACTAAGTCATAGATAATTACAGAAATATTAGTTGTTAGCAGAATAAATATGTCCATATATCTCCAATACTTTTTCAGTAAATAAATTTGATTAAAATTGCATTTTTTTCCTATAATTCAGAAGATTTACAGCTTACTCGTGGTACAACATTTGTAAATGTGAGTAATTAATTTTTTTAAGTAAAGTTATTGCAGATTTACAGGCCCTTGAATGTAGCCAGGATTTTACAGATACTGAGTCCCCCTGTGTCTCCCACCCCACCCAGGTCAGAATATTTGCCAAGGCAAGTCAGCACATTTCATACAGCAGGGAGATTCAATTAAAAAAAGAGCAGAAAAATATAAAACATAATAAAGGGCACACACTTAAAGATATTACATTGCATTATATTACAATTAAAAAAACACAATTAAAAGCAGCAAAACTGCAGACAAGAGGTGCAAAGATAAAATTAAAAAATAAGTTTGCGTACGCAGGCTCATGTGGACGTCTTAATACTTGTTGTATGTTCTATGCTTGCATCATAGTGTCCTGCATACATGTCCCTCAGGTTAGGGGTGGATACCGTACTTTCTGTTTCTGTTCACAGTTGCTGCTTTTTGAATTTTTGAAATTTACACTTACACATGTCACAAGCACGTCAGAGATATTACCACAAAGAAAGTCTGAAGGATTTTTAATTTACCAAGTCGTCTGTTTCCTGTAAAATAATTAATTCCTGGCAAAATCATTAATTTTATTTATTCAAAACATCAGAAAACACACTGAGGATGGACCTTCATTTACAGTGGTGCAGAGGCACACGTAGTAAATACAGACACAGCTAAAAAGACATAGCAGTACAAGACGAATACATGACAACATCAACTTAAAAAACAAAGAAACAAAAAACTTAAAGCAATGTCAGTTCTCATCAGTAAGATTAGAAATCAATTAAACCTTGAAATTCTCTATTAATAAGGTCAGCTTTAAGTTTTGTTGAGACATATTCCAAGTATGTATGTATGTATCTATGTATGTATCTATCTATCTATCTACTTGTAATTAGTATGTATAGCTTTTATAAAAGAGCGTTCTAAATAAAGTTATTATTCTCATTTTTATTAAATAAATAAAGACAAATAGTAAAATAGAGAGACGACTGGTTGCTCTGTTTAAACAGACGTAGATCAAAATCTTGTGTCGTGTGCTCCTGAAGATCGGGAAACAACAGGATCGACAGGAAGGCGATCCAGGCACTCTGAAAAAACGAGGAAGGAAAAATTAAGAAGTCTTTATTGTAGTGGCTGAATTATTAATGAGGTGTGGCCCCAAGAGCCATTTGGTTCCTGCTACTTTATAGGTGTGGCCTCACCTGTGATGTATGTTTTTAAAGCCCTGATGAACACCTGCAGTGCTCTGTTAATGACTTAGCCCCTACCTTGTTTTTCTATATTTTGCTTTCCTTTCGAAATGAGAACAAATGCTGGTCTTTTATTTGCTGCTTTTAAATTGGTCCAAATTAGATGCATTAAGTATGACAACACTGGAATCAGACTATAAAACACCCAGTTTGTTAGCTCCCCCTAAACTTGTAAAATCCATAATTATTCCCCAAAAACACACAACACATGACCTCAATTCAAAATGCAGCTGTAGTTATTTTATTGCCACTGTGTAATGTTAGAACATTTTGTATTTCAGTGTTTTTAATGCCATTACTCTGTTTTATAAAACCTAAAATAAACAGTAAAGCTTTACTTTGATGACACGTTTAAGTCACAGAGTATCCACAGTGATATGTAGACAGAAAAATACAAACAGAAAAATTACCAGGAGATACTAAACAATTAAAAAATAAATGAATCTCCCCTGAACGTCCAGGATGAACAGCTTTTATTGTTTATTAGATATTTAGATAAGACGGAGGAGAGAAAGGCAAGAAAATATATTCTGAAATAATTTCTCTAATCAGGTTTTTTTGTATAATTCACATCATTAAAGAGCTCATCGTCCTCCCTCATTAAACCCACTTCAGCAGCTGACAGTTTGAGTACAAACACACACACACTCACACATACAGTGGAGTATGTTTGAG